CTGTTCATGGTGGGGGGGTTCAGACAGGGAGGTCACCACCAAGCGAGAGAAGACTAAGTTATTCTGTGTGGCAGCGTTTCCCAACCATAGACTCAGGGAACAGAACATTCTGATTCTATTATTCTAACTACCAGCTTCTCCCTTTCAACCCTTCAGCCATATCGTTACACCAAATTATGAAATCAAGATGAAGCTGATGAAGTGGAACAAGCTATTAGAAAGTCAATCAAAGTGTGGCTCAAATCTCAATCTGCTCATTTGTATGAAGGCAGTTTAATAGCTGTACATCATAACAGCGCTCTGTGGTATTCAAGGCCTTTATTGTCCCGTATGGGCACATTTGTTCTGTAGGGCAAGGCTGAGAAGACAGACTTGAAGAGGTTTGAATATTCTTAAGGGAAGCATGTATTTGCTCTTTCTATCCATCATTAGACTAATTAGGGTTTCCATTGCGGGGTGATGATTAGAAAAAGATTTGAAACTGAGACTCCTTTCTAAAAAGCCATTCCATTATCAAGCAATTCCAGTGATAAAAAAATTAGAAATGGTAATAATTTCAGAGCAAAAAATTGACAACAATAAAAAAGGAAATCACTGGTGGTTCAATGATTTAAATTACAAGTTTCTTGATGGTAGTTCTAAATCTTTACTATGTGCTGAAGATAAGCATGGGTTATTTCAGAGCCTCAAAGTTATTGGCTTTCAACACATGTTCCGAAAATGAGGAAACACTACAACATATGATCACTTTCTAGAAGTGATCATATGTTGTAGTCTAACTAAAATATTTTAGGCAGAATACAAATGCAGTTATACATTTTGGTAAAAATAAATAAACATTGGGTTTTTCAAATAAGCCATTTAGTTTCAAGTTTGAAATGTAAAAGAATGGGAACTACAATTATGTTGCTTTCTTGCCTATAGTTGAAATGTAAAAAAACAGCACTTTCCTATCCATCAGATGAGGCGGCCGGCCAGGAGCCAGTTAGCTAGCTAAAAGCTATAGCCTTTTTCTGTTTGAAGAAGGTAAAGACCCAACTACCAGCATCAATATGTGGATTTACTCGAATGAGTTTACACTTTTTGTATGAATCAATCCAACACGACGCATCGTGTTAATTAGCAAGCTTTGGTCAGGCAAACTGTTTCCCTTTTTCTCAAGTCTTTATGCTAAGCTATTCTAAGCTAAAATAAGCTGACCGTCGCCTGACTGTAATTTAGCACTTTTTCAAATTATAAAAATGATTCATTAACCATTATTTATTAACCATTAGTAAAGCAATAAGTTACACACATTAAGGACACTTTATAGAAGGTGGCACTGAAAACATTTTTATGGGGCTATTTTTGTGCGATTTCTTTGTTGTCCAATTATGTAAGCCTAAATAGCAGTTAATATACTGTATAAATGTAGCCTGACGTTTCCATACCTCTTTGACCAACATTTCTAATGATGTTATCTCTGTTCGGTTTCTACTGTCAGCTAATGAGGACTTATTCTGGAATGAGACGATGCATTTTCCTAAAACTGCATATAATAACCTGTCAAAAGCTCAACTGTTATCTGTATCTGGTTCACTTCAAAGCTTAAAACCCTTAATATAAAAAAAAGTTCTGTATTCTGGAGATAAAATATACATTTTCCAGATTATGCATATTTAAACTTTTCTATCTTCAACATTCTCGCATTAAAGGAATTTCTATTATATGCTGGTCACTATTGATTTATGCCACTTTTCTTTTACTTGCCGGCCTAAGGCAACAGATTTGTTTGACATCTCTGGCCATTTCATCACTTCTTCATGATTTCTATTCTGTTTCTCTTTTGAAATTCAGGCTGTGGACAGTAAAGCAAAGAGAGAGACATTAAGGAGGAGTTCACACTGGGACGACTGGCTTTTGACTCCATCTGCTGGTCACTCACTCGGCCTCCATGTTAATATGTATACAGTGTAGCTCTGTGAAGTGAAATACATAAAAGAAAAGCGGTGTAGGGAATATGTAAAATGCAAGTGACTTCAAAGGAAATCGTGTGCAGCAAGCGGAATAAAAATCTCAAATAAGGTCCGGCCCTAGCATCAGGAAACAGACTTGAGTGCGCTCACACTGAGCTGTCTGGCTTTCCTCAAGTGACACTGCTGTAATCTCACAGCAGACATTACAGAGGAAGCCCGCTGTTCTCTTCCCTCCACAGTGCCCCCGCTCCCCTTCACCCACCAACGCACCATCAAAAATGCAAAACCATGGCATGGAACCAAAAGATGAAAATGCTCACGGTGAGGGGGGATATCACAGTGGAAGAGATTAGCGCTGGGAGGGGGAGTTTTACACTCAAAGAGAGTTCTGTAATAACAAAACCCCGCGGTGAGCACAGCAGGCATTTATGGATTTGGAGCAGGGGGGCAAAGTATTCCGGCAAACATGGAAAGAAACGGATACAAGTTGTTAGAAATGGTATCTTTTCACATGTGCTCATTAATTGACCTAAAAAATAAAGAACAGAAAGAAATTACTGCCTGAAGAAAATAAATGTGACGAGCTTTGATTCTAACAATATGGGACACTTTGAAGGAACATAACCCATTCCCAGTTGATTAAAGTTACATTTAAGTTTTTTCAGGGGAAAAATCCTTCCCACCTAAAGTAATGGATTTTAACGATAGGAAAACAAGCGGTAAAAGGCAAACTGCTTTAAGATAACAGAAAGAGCACCACCTATGGAAATTACATTTCATGAAAAGCTGATTTAATGTTGTTCCTCCATAATAGAGTTTAGCATGTTTTGAAGTCAAAGATTTAATAAAATATTTTTGGGTTAGATTCCCAAAATAAGATCTGTGAATACCAACAACGCTCAAGTTTTGTTCTACGTCAGTACATTGGTAAATACCCCACTGTTGCATTTCTTAAGCATCTAGGTTGCTAGCGGTTGCTAACAACATCATTACGCCAAACATTAGCCGCCATTAGCTTAGCGGTGCGACCATGATGTTTTTAGTTTATAGCCTAACGTTAGCTTTTTACTTGGGATGTATGAAGCTTCTATGTGTCGTAAAAATGGCAGTTGCTAACAAGCAACTAAATGAGATTCATAAACAACATCACGCCGAAAATGTAGCTATTTTAGCGACTATGATGTAAGTTGTTTATAGCCTAGCGCTAGCTTTTTACTTCTAGCAGTTGCATTTGCGCCTCAACAATCATAAAAGTGTTGTTAATATGGGGAGATTATCCTGCTTAACAAAACCTTTAAGAATTATAAACATGAGTTTGCCACAGATGGACTTTTTTTCTGCAATATTAAAAAATGGAAAAAATCCCATTGCTTTTTATTGAGGGAGCCGTTGCAATGTTAAAGGTCAATTCCATTGTTGAGGTCTACTAGAATAGATTTATTTTGTGCAATTTTCCAAACTCACATTGGTTTCTCATACAGCATCTCTGTATAGTATGTGTATTCACTCTCTGTCCTACACGGCCTGTTGGAGCTCCTGCCCCCCCCCCCTCCCTGTGAGCCCACTGTGCTCTGATTGGTCAGCTCGCCCACTCTGTTCTGATGAGTCTACCACCGTTACAGCGGAACATCAGTGATTATGTGTTACAATGGCGTTTGTTAGCAACCAAAAAATGACACCAGGGTTGCGGTCTAATAGTCCAACAATCAGCTCCTAACGTCTATCCCTATCGTCTATCCCTTGACCTCTGAGTGAAACGTCACGGGGTTAAGGGATAGTGGATAGGAGAATTCAAAAGGACTTAGGAGAAGAGACTGCGGTACTTTAGAGAATACGACTGCACTTTCACTATCCGACGTGTTTATGATGCGCCAGCGGAGGTCATAAATGTGCATCTGCTGCTGTGGGGAAACTATGGAAACTACAGTTTTCTATACAGCGGACTACAACATGGATGTTTAATAAGAACGAGGAACTACTGTAAACTCATCTAAAGACTCTGCACCGTGCTCTGACGCTGTTGTTTTATGCTTTATGAACGGGGACAACAGAGAAACATATTCTTCATGACCAAAGTTGGAATTGAAATAAAAAAGGAAAGTGAAACTTATGCTCGTCACCCTCTCCCTCCGGTCCACATTAATACAAATGATCCCAATACGTATGATTGTATGAAAAGATCTTAAAATCAATACAAATGTATTTATTATAACGGTTAGTCCTTAACATCTATCACTGTGTATATCACCATTCAAACATCTTTTAAAAGTTGAACAAACCCCACACAGCTCAGTAAACACTGGAATGTTGACTTTATTTGATAATTTCAGTAAAAACTAACGTTCATATTTCTCTTTTTGATTATAATACTGATGAACGTTCAAAACAAAGCACTTTGGCAACCTACCACATACGTTTTAAAATGCTTAATAAGCACCGTAACTTTCATGATATCATTTCTCGGTCATAATCGGTTGTTTCCGTGAACGGCCGACTGTTGTGTGACGGCAAATTCTGCGGCTGCAAGGCATTGTGGGGCAGCATTTTCTCCTCTCCTTTCGGTTAGGGAGGTCCAGTGGTTCCTAAGCTAAAGGAGGTTATAAAGGAAGTTTGAAACCTCCTTTCCTTTCATTTAGAGAATTCGAACAGCACTTATCATGGCTGCCACTGAGGGACTTCCGGGTCATTTCACTCCGTTAGGAAGGTTCCTACGCTAAATGGACTATTCGACCGCAACCCAGTAATGACAAACAGATGAGACAGTGTGAGCTGGGTTCATTTCCTGCTTGCTGCGAGACATCGCGAATGGACACATTTGGGGGGGGGGGGGGGGGTAATAACCGGAAAAGCATGACATGGGCCCTTTAACTTTTTGGTCGTCCTAGAAAAAACATCATCACTACCCAACTTTATGTCAATGTATATTAAAAAAATTAAATAAAGCAGAATTAAACAATATCAATGATTTTCTGCCTTGTCTAACAAACTATATCCCAGTAAAATGCTGGCCCAAGGCATTTTTCAATGATTCAGACCAGAGCCTCGTTTAAAATTGAATGGCAATATTTTATTAAGTTAGGAAATCAACATATTTAAGAAATGTAATTATGTACACTGGTTCTACTGTATGGATTTAAAAAAAGGACAAAAAAAAGCTTGACACACCAAGCTCATACATGTTAAAGACATTTCACATACCCATAAATAGTGATGACTGAGCTAATCATGTGCCGTAACCTCTCAGTATTTATTTGTTCACATAAAAAAAAAAAAATCAAGAACACGGTCACTGAACTGTTCTTAAATATCTTAAAACTACACTATAAAATACATAAAGCATATCTACCATGTGTTCCATGGGAAACAAAGAAAAGGCAATGGTATAAGAAATCATTTCTCATGAAATAGTGGTAAGCTTTAAAATAAACTTTCAAGCGATTTCATCAGTAAGGTCATTTACAACAGGTAAAAGAGGCAGGGGTTTTACCATTAAAGCAGGCGAATAACTCGATCTACTTTGTTCAAAATATACAGAAAACGACATTGGTGCAAAACGCTTCAGTCTGAGCCGCTTAGTGGCACAGACCACGTAAACAACTGAGCTGAAATTCACAGGCTGTTAAAATGGGTTGTACAGTAGTGGCCTTTGTGATCCAGTGTGTAGTGACTTCAGTGAGTGACAGTTCCTCAGTGCTCCTCCTTGTCCCGCCCCTTCTTGTCCTTTTCGTCCTGCAGCGCAGTGCCCAGCTTCTTGATGAGCACCGACAGCACCTTGTCCAGCGGGTCCATCACCCCCCTCTGCAGCCACTTGGGAATTGTAGTCCGGGCGTGGTGGAAGCCCAGTTTCTGCAGGATGTAGTCCACACCCACCGGGTCGATCTTACGCCCTGTCCAGGAGATGAGCCTGAGGAAAGAAGAAGGAAGGGTTTCAGTTTAGGCCCTTTATCCACTTCTGGCATAAATATATATAAAAACATGTGTTTAATGTTCCCAAGACAACCATATCTTGACAACGTATCGCTGCTGTTTTAAGGCGGATTAGCCGCGCCTCATGCCTTGAATCTATCAATTTGGGCTACCCTCTACTCGTATTTTGACCATGAACACCAACCAGAGGATGCTTGCTCTCACTCTTTGTATGACTGCACTGCTACAGAGATAAAAGTAGAGCAGTCACCATGGGCAACATCCAGGTCCTATCTGCTCAAACAAACAGGCCTTTCAGCCTTTGGTAGTTTCTGTGTGAACGTCACAGACAAAAGCTAGCTTCTCCTTGAATTTGTACAGTGTTGTCACAAGTGCATTCTGAACGTAAAGTGCTTAGAGTGGCCGGACAAAAATGTCTCAGAGGCGCTCAGCGGAAAGACGCTGGGTAATTTCTCAATGGCCCCATTTTATGGCTCTGTTATTATTAGAAACCATTGTAAAAGAAACGCTGTGTGGTCCTTAGTCAACTGTAAATGCAACTAAGAGTATACTGTGTGGTAAAGTGTTTAAGAGTACAGAAACTCATTTGGTCTTTACAACTTTAAAAAAGCAGGTATGTAGCATTATGATACTTCACCTAGTATGTTATTATAAAATGTTTATAATGTGTAAATTATTGTTTTAACGCATTATAAATAGTTATTAGTGATTAACATTGTGCAGTACTTTAAGCAGATTATAACGCAGTATAAGTCTGTTTAGGAGGCGTGTGGCGCAGTGGGTTGTGCGTAGGTGTTGGGATCAGGGGGTCACAGGTTCAAACCCCTCTGCAGTCAGCATGTCGTTGTGTCCCTGGGCAAGACACTTCACCCCAAATTGCTCCTGTGGGGATTGTCCACAGTATTGAGTATGTAAGTCGCTTTGGATAAAAGTGTCTAACAAGTAACATGTGATGTAATGTAATGTTTATAATGTATTGTGAACATGTAGACTCTATTAAGTATTATAGACATTAGTTTCATAAAACAAAATTGGTAGTTAGTATAAAAGAAAAGTAATTATAATTTAATTGTGTGATCTGTGTTTTTTTTTTTATTCCAAAGCCCTTTAAAAATCCTTGTTCTGTATATTATGATATGCATGGCGAGTCTGTGCGTCAGTGTAGCAACACGGTCATAGAGACTGACCCTAACCTCCTTCCTGTTGTTCCTCTGCAGCTCTGAATGAGCTTAATTCACGTCATCAGTCCTTTAACCAAACAAAGCCCTCCACTCCACTGACCTGAGGGTGGGCTCCAGGTGCCAGGTGTTGCACATGAACTCCCTCCAGTCCACCGTGGTGTAGTTGATGCCGTCGTCTTTGTCCGAGGAGCCGTCGTCGTGCAGGGCGGTCGGGCTCTTCTGACCGGGGCGGGTCGCAAACATCCGCGGGGCGAACAGGGCTGGGGGGGGGGGGGTAAGAGAGGGGGGGTAAGAGAGGGGGGGTGAGGTTACCGCTGCTTCAACAGGCACACCACAATACAGTAGAGGAGTGAGTTCTTCAACCTGGGAATGAGTCAGCATTTTACCCCTTCAGGTTCCCTGGTATGGAAGTCTGTGGTTAGCACAAGCTAAGGAGATTTGAATGATTTGTCCTACGACATTAAATGTATCAGTAAATACTCCACTCTTGAATGTCTGAAGCTTCTATATGTCATAAACACACATAGAAGCTTGGTTAGAGCTAGCAACCCATAGCAGGCCGGTACGAATCCCGTAGCCGGCCGAACAATTCATGCAATGTCCTCCCCCGTCTCCCCCTTTCTACACTAAGATCTCCAATAAAGGCCCTCTGGCCCAAAAATACCTTTAAAAAACCCTGCAATAGCTAACAAGCCACTACATTGGATAACTAAACATTACATTACATTACATGTCACTTGTTAGACACTTTTACCCAAAGCGACTTAGTACTGTGGGCAATCCTGACAGGAGACATTTGGGGTGCGACATGCTGACTGCAGTGGGATTTGAACCAGTGCACCACTGATCCAACATCAGCGCACTACTTCACTGAGCCACAACTTCCAGCACCAACATCATCACACCAAAAATTAGCCGCTTTTAGCTTAGCGACTGTTATGTAGTAATAGCCTAACGTTAGCTTTTTACTTCTGGCAATGGCATTTACGCTTCAAAAATCATAAAGTGGCGTTATAGAGTGGTGCAGTGATGAAGTATTTTTGTAGGCCAACCCGTAATGTAGGCCAACCCATTGCAAGGGCTCCCTTCACAAAAAACTAAGTACATCATCATCAGCTAAAGGCGGACTCTTCCGGGCATCATGCCGTTTAGCAGTTATTTTAGTCACCTGTTAGCAAGCACACATTTTATGAAACATAAAAGCGTCAGACATTCACGAGTGGAGTATTTACTGACATATTTTATATTGTAGAAACAAACATGAAAGGGTTAGGGTTAAAATCTCTTAAAGGTGGGGTATGTAATTTATTTCAGAAACACTTTTTGTTATATTCCATGGAATGCTCTTAACATCCCGATAGCAATGAATACATTAAATGCTTTGACAATAAATACATAAACAAAATATCATATGTGGAAGCCGTGGCGCTGTAAAAAGCACGACCAATCATTTTAGCCGGCCCGGCTAAAATAACTGGATGGCCTACCTGCCTGTCAGCCTTCCATCTGTGCACAAACTTATCTCGTGCCCTCATTGGTCATGTGCGCGTTCGTGTGTGTTGGAAGTGGCAGATTTTTTCCGGTTGTGTATTTTCAAATTCTAGCGCACTCGAGCTGGTTTCTCCAAAATGACCTACCCCACCTTTAAGCTTGTGCTAACCAAAGATCTTTTTTCAAGCGTCTAACCATAAACACGTTAAAAAATGCTGACTAATTTCCGGGTTTACCACTTGTGTTTTATACTACTCTGAGTGGAGACATCCTGCAGAACAAAACGTGTAAGTGTGATAAACGTGTGTTTGCAACTGATTTTATTTTCTGCAATATTCAAAAAATATCTTTTGTCGATGGACGCCTTGTGATGCTAACTTCTGGGTCGGCCTACATTATTTCCTCATCCCTACTCCACTCTACACACATTCATGAATGTCCCTGAAGGCAGTCGGCACCTTGATGGTATAGATCTCGACTCTATTCAAATGTCCTGCTCGAATGAATCCAGACGGATCAAACTGATGGAATATCTCGCCTCCTCTCCCTCTCTATTCAGCAGCAGAATCAACAGAACAAAGTCACGGCACCACTCTAATTGTCACGAAGAATGTGAGCTCGTCTGCATAAAGGCTGCTAATTTGTTCCTCCGTGACAAAGTAGAGCCCATTAAAAGTAGCCCCCCCCCCCACTGTTCGTAAAGACACCTCTCAGCTGCTTCAATTTCCTGCCGCTCTACAAAATGGCTTCACAGGGACAGAGGCAGACAGATGTGCTTTATATTGTTATCTCTCCTTGGACTGACGACTCATTTCTATCCTCACCTTCTAATTGAACTAGTCCTTGCTCATGGAGATGTCCCAGAGACTGTGGATGTCCCAGAGACTGTGGATGTCCCAGAGACTGTGGATGTCCCAGAGACTGTGGATGTCTTTTAAACTGACTGGAAAGGTTAAAGGGATTGTTCGGATTGTTTGAAGTTGGGTTTTATGAGGTAATTATCCATAGTCAGTGTATACAATAGAAACAGACAGGAGTAGCAGGAAGCAGTGTACTACTGTGGGCTATAATGAAGCAGTTATATACGCTTTTTAAATAACTCCATTCCTATTCTACTGCCATCTTGATCGGTTCATTTGTTAGTTATTGTGTGACTTAGTTTGAATTCATCGCAGTCACACAATTTGTTAGTTTGGACAGTTCCACCGATCGAGGCAGCAACCCGTTTGTTCTTCCAGGTCAAATGTGTGTTTTTGTCAATGGAGTCTGGTGGTTTGTAAAGAGCAACATAACAGCTTCAGTTGGCGGTCAGAAAGCACTCTATGATGGCAAGGTAAAACAATGTTATATTCTTAATATAGCGTACAGCGAAAATAGATTATTATTATATCCATTTTTGATTGGCCCTCAGCTAATTCTAAAAGTATAATGGAATATGACCGACATCTGAAACTCGTGCTCCACTTATAATGTTCGTCTTAAATATATATTACACAGTATTCATGTGTTAATAAGGCCAATGTTTGTTGATCAAAAAAGCCCAAGCTTGAAATACCAAAACATTTTGTAACAAAATAATTAGACCCTATGGTGAGCTGTGATGTAGTCTGTTTTCTTTCTTTAAGCATATACAGTTATTAAGAATAATTGACCTACGTTTAATTGATTTAGCTAAATTATAACTTATAAACGTCACATGTGGCCCAGCCCTCTGTATGTTTCTCTGTATGTGGCACTCAGTGAAAAAACGTTGCACATCCCTGCACTATATGATATTGATATTTGTAGGTGTCTTAAATATGTTCTGCTGCTGCGCCCGCCCTCCACAGGACATTGTTTGGCTTCCGTCTGTCTGTTATTACCACATTAGGGGCATGCGGACCCTCTACTGCAGGCTACACTCACTAATGGAAAGGATCTGATAAAACCCCACTTCCAACAATCCCTCTAAGTAATGAATGAATGATGTGAAACCTTTCTCCTTCTCCTTCAAGTATGCAGAAACCAGGTCGTGAAGGAACATGATGAGCTCGGCGTCCATGGTGACACAGATGTGGTCTGTGAATTCTGTCACCACGCTGCACTCCACTTTGGGTTTGCTGTCGGTGTCTGGAAAAAAAAGGAAAAAAAAGATCTGAAGCAAACCATTGCTTCTCAGACGGTCATGGGGACTGTGGTTTTTGTTAAAGAGGAAAAAAGGAAAACGCATTTTTTTACAGATAAAATATTTTTGTTTATGTGATTCTGCCGAGGTCATGTTAGTCAAGGGCAACATTTTCCACAATATTTGCTGACTCGTGTTATTTAAAGATACAGTGTGACCTTAAAAAGACAAAATATTTCATCATGCTCCATTTCATCACCTGTTAGCGAAGGCTCTTCAGGATCCTGTACGTGGATTGACTTGAAGTCCAGTTGCATTCTGGGAAGAGCAAAGATGGTCTCCGTCTCGTGGTTGTAGCTGGAGGAGCTGCGGAAGCTGCTCAGCAGGCTGGAGCTCTTGGCAGCCGCTCCGCTCTCCTGGTTGTTGGCTTCAGCGTTCCTGAGCAGGTTCAGCTCTGAAACGGGAGATAAGACGTGTGGAAACTCTTTAAGGTCGTGTTCACACCGCTCTGCTCCCATGCTTCGTTAAATACTATCTGCACCTGCTTTACATGTAAGATAAGCAGCTGCTCGCAAAGCCAGACAGAAAGGGAAAGAGAAAACGCTGTGTCTGTCTTCTTTAAGTCAAAGCTGTCTGAAGTTGAGAAATGCTTAAAGTTTGAGAAGCTACTACAATGAAGCAACCGTTTACCTCTTTATGAGGTTACTCGAGATGAAGCGAATGCAGTTTAAAGCACTAACCGTGCATTCATTCTGATTTCATAAAGGTTAGAATGTTTTATATCTTAGATAGGTGCTGATTTAAATGTGCTGTTACAGAACTCTACTGTATTATACTTGTATATCAACAAAGGTAGTGAGTATGCACTAAACACATGCAGTTTGTTTGATAAGGGATGCGCAGATCTCCAGAGGATTGATATTGCCTCCAATAGTGGTGCTGGAATGAGTCCAAAAACCCAGGAATGAGTTAGCATTTTAGCACTGCGGCCTTCCTCGTCTCAAAGTTTATGGTTTTGAATGTGTTTTTAGTTAGAAGCCTGAAATAAGGTCTTTGCTTAACACAAGTTTAAGAGACTTTTTGACCTAAGACCTCGATGTAACTCGTATGTCGAGGGAGCGCTTGTGATGCTTACTTCCTGGTCGGCCTACAAAAATACTTCATCCCTGCAACACTCTATACCAGTGGTCACCAACCAGTCGATCGCGAGTGGGGTGCGGGTAGATCGCGCGCCGTTAAAAAAAAATAATGTTTTTTTTTTTTTAATAACGTTTTTAGATGTAAGCCTATCATCCACCACCCCGTTAGCAGGTGCCACTTGATTGACGTATCTTTGAGACATTCCTTGTCGCTCCCGAAAATAATAGACTAACTTCAAGTGATGGTGCATATTTTTGAACTCACTGCACTTATGGTAGATACCAACTACAACAAGATGAACATATTTTACCGTGATTTAATTGTAATACACGTTTCAAAATGATGCCGAAGTAACAACATACTGATACCAGTTAGTAAAAACCATGAATTAATGCTTTGACAAGTCTGCAGACAAGACGGCAGGGGAAAAACCTTTTAAAATGCGTGTTTTCTGAATGGAGATTGGATCGATCAGGCTAAGCTAACGTTGTGGCTGCTCCGTCCAAACTCACAACGACCTACAGACAGAAATAAACCAGCGACTGTATTCACCATGACACAGACAGTCTGTGGTGTGTACTTGTTTAACTTTTCTCCAGTTTCTGAACAGATATGAGGAGCTGTGAGCTCTGTGTGCTAACTGCTAACAGCTGATGTTTTGGTTTTCTGATTCAACGTCAGTGACGGCAGGCTGAGATCCTCACCACTGATTGGCTACCGCGCGAACGCATCATTCGCATCAACCGCATCAACCGCGTCTGTCCGCGTCTTTGCATTGACTGTAATCGCGCCGCCCCCAAAATCGCATCACGTCCGGTGTGAACGCACCAATGGTTTATGCACGGATAAAGAATGTTGTTAGAATTTTGAATTTGTAAGAATTGTGTTAAAATAACTAGTTTTAATGTTGATGTTAAATGTTGCACTTGCATGAAGCTTCAGTGGATAAGCCTCACAGTTAAAATGGTACTTTATGTTATCTGCTCACTGCAACATGTTATTTTTTTCTTTGTTGTTGTTGCTGTCAACAAAATAATGTACTCATTCACTCAAACAAATGGAAAATAAGCTACATACCTTTATATTTAGGATTGTAATGAAGGAATGAATGAAACTTAAAATGATAGGTATGATGTAAATATATATATTTATCCTTTTTGACATGCTAGTTATGTTGTGTTCTTGGTTTAATCAAATTGGAAGTTGCACAAAATGATTTGATGTAATTCAGATGCAATGAGCCTACATACATAAAAGGCCTCAAATTGGAAGAACGGTCTGGGCCGTCTTTTTCACTCAATTCTGCAAGAGGTAGATCTCGCCTTTCACCAAGGGGATCTTGGGCTTAAAAAGGTTGGTGACCACTGCTCTATACTGATCATTTTAGACAGATCACCCAGGGTTACTGATGGTTTATGTTAAAACATGCCCAGTTATACCACTGCAATGTAACATTGGCTCTTCCTGGTTCTTTGTACATGTCGACTATTTCCCTGTTGTTTCAATAAAGACTTCATTCTGTGAATCGTTAATAAAAATAATTCAAAAAAGTCAGTGTCATTATTCCATATAGTGTTTTCACTATTAGATATGGCAAGCTGATGCCAACAAGGTATTCAGATTTAACATTTGGAAAAAGAGAGCGTTGGAAGTTTGAATCGGAAAAGTTGGAACATGCATCCCTGTGACCTCAGGATGCAAAATAAACTATTCACGTCGATAAATGAAACCAGTTACCTTCGTTCCTCATGGCAGTGACGTAGTTGAACCATTCTTTGACCGTGGCCACTCCATGTGGGGGGTTTTCATGCCGCCTCCGGGTTATTTTGGTTATGGTGGCCATGGGGCTCTCCAGGGCCCCGCAGGGCTTGGTCACCATCGTGTTATGACCAAGATGGAAGTCCAGTGTCTGCACTATGTAGGTGGAATCATCTTGGGAGCCTGGGGCAGGAGCAGAGTCAGTGATCAAAGGGTGATTAAAGGCAACAACTCTCATCATTGTCTGGCATAGAGACAATTATTGGATGTGATTTAGCTTCTTGTTTACCACCTTTTGACAATTTCACATGTTCATTTACATATTTTAGATTTTAATACATTTACAGTACTTCAGTTCCATTCTTAACCTGTTAAGCCCTGAGCCTGTTTTTCAGGTCTCAGGCTCGAAAATGACATTCCCAGAACAAATGACCATATCTTCCCTTCTAAAAGGGTTAAATTAATAATCTTTTTCCTCAAAGTAATGATAAACCTGTGAGTTGGATGTAGAAAAGTCAGAATCAATATAGATGTTTTTTATTTTAAAGAAAATTCAGATTTTACATAGTAAAAAACTGTAAATTATAGTGTCCGTCCAAAAAATCTTTTTTACTTACAGTATAGTGAAAACTACCCTTGGATGATGGTAAGGTAGACTAAAAGCTTTAGGAATCCAAAGTACAACATATAATAAGTACCCTGTATCAAGATTGATGCAAAACAAGTGACATTTGACCTTTCTAGAGAGGTTTAGCCAAAAACACTCCACCTCTGAGGTGATTTGGGTGGAAATGTTTTTTTTCTTCATATCTCTGGAACCCATTGGTCGATTTTGATGGTTGACACCTCTTTCTGACCGTTAGAGCCAATAGAATTGAAGGGGGAGTCCCCCACACACACACACACACACACACATTGTGAAACAAAAAGGTGGGGGCTTTGCGCATGTAATTTTGCATTAGAGTGAAGCTACAGTCTAGCTCTGACATCTAGAAACGTAAAAGCATGGATTATCCGTTTTATTTCTCATGGATTATCAGAAATCATTTCAAAGGGACACAGACACATTGGATTAACGTATGGATTAACTTCAGCAGCGTTTTTATCATTTTAATGCCATTGAAGACCACTTTGGAGAGACTACAGAGCCAAGGTAAGAATGTTAGCATTTTTAGCTACCTAGCGTCACCTGTTTTGATGTCTGTTTTTGCTTATAACGTCGCAAATTCGTATAATTCAGTGATAATGAGGGTACCCATCGATTCTGTGTCACCTCACGATGTGAATCGATGTCATGGATGTGGAGAAAAGATAAATAATAAGGTTTTGCGAGTGATTTTCGGTGCAGTAAGGTGTTAGCATTTTTCGCTCGTTGCTAATTCAGAGGCTCAGTGTTAGCATTGTGGGTTTTCTTTTGAAAAAAAAAAAAAGATTATCAGTTAGATGAGTTTCTTCCCGTTACATGGATATAAAACATTTATAGTTTATTAAATGAACATGCCCTCAGACACCGTTTCCTGCAAGATGTTGCGGCAGTGCCCCGGTACCGGGGTCTCTCTCTTTTACATTAAATAGAGTTATTTTACAGTATAGTATAAGTATTTTTTACTTAAGTAGAGGATCTGAAAACTTTTCCACCACTGCTTGAACAGAAGCTGAGAGCTTTAAGAGGCATGACCTCTAACTCTAAATTATTATCGAGTTACGTTTGGGGATATTAGACATTATTGGGAAATTCTCCAAATTAGCATATGAGTCATGGCCAAAAATGTGTTTTGTGAGCCGTCCAGGCTTCCTCAGATATTTATATCCAGCTGCGACTACAGCCATTTGTCCTGTCTACTTCTTTTTAAATGTTGATTATGTAGTGATTTTTTAGTTCCATCTGCACATGGAACATTCTGCCTCACCGTCCTCCCAGATCTTCTGAGCCTCCGTCCAGAAGGCGATGTTGGGCTCCTCCAGGTGGAACAGGGCCCAGGACTTGGAGCGGAAGTTGGGCCCGTGGAAGCAGGCCAGGGTCATGTGGTTGCCATGGAGACTCATGGAACCGCCCAGCTGCACGGCGTCCTCGGGCAGAGGCATCTGGAAGAGTGAGATGTGGCAGCCGGCGATCACCTTCAGCACCCCGGGCCAGTGGCGGTGATGGGCTGCGTCCATGTCTGTGAGACGGAGACAGCAGGGGACAGAGTGAGACAGAGTGAGACAGGGTGAGACAGAGTGAGACAGAGGGAGACAGAGGGAGACAGAGTGAGACAGAGTGAGACAGAGTGAGACAGAGAGAGACGGAGGGAGACAGAGTGAGACGGAGGGAGACGGAGGGAGACAGAGAGAGACGGAGTGAGACAGAGAGAGACGGAGTGAGACAGAGAGAGACGGAGTGAGACAGAGAGAGACGGAGAGAGACGGAGTGAGACAGAGGGAGACAGAGAGAGACGGAGGGAGACAGAGAGAGACGGAGTGAGACAGAGAGAGACGGAGTGAGACAGAGGGAGACAGAGTGAGACAGAGGGAGACAGAGAGAGACGGAGTGAGACAGAGAGAGACGGAGAGAGACGGAGTGAGACAGAGGGAGACAGAGAGAGACGGAGGGAGACGGAGTGAGACAGAGGGAGACAGAGAGAGACGGAGGGAGACAGAGAGAGACGGAGTGAGACAGAGATAGACGGAGTGAGACAGAGATAGACGGAGTGAGACAGAGAGAGACGGAGTGAGACAGAGAGAGACGGAGTGAGACAGAGATAGACGGAGTGAGACAGAGATAGACGGAGGGAGACAGAGAGAGACGGAGGGAGACGGAGTGAGACAGAGGGAGACAGAGAGAGACGGAGGGAGACAGAGAGAGACGGAGTGAGACAGAGATAGACGGAGTGAGACAGAGAGAGACGGAGTGAGACAGAGAGAGACGGAGTGAGACAGAGGGAGACAGAGAGAGACGGAGTGAGACAGAGAGAGACGGAGAGAGACGGAGTGAGACAGAGGGAGACAGAGAGAGACGGAGGGAGACGGAGTGAGACAGAGGGAGACAGAGAGAGACGGAGGGAGACAGAGAGAGACGGAGTGAGACAGAGATAGACGGAGTGAGACAGAGAGAGACGGAGTGAGACAGAGATAGACGGAGTGAGACAGAGATAGACGGAGTGAGACAGAGAGAGACGGAGTGAGACAGAGATAGACGGAGTGAGACAGAGAGAGACGGAGTGAGACAGAGAGAGACGGAGTGAGACAGAGATAGACGGAGTGAGACAGAGATAGACGGAGGGAGACAGAGAGAGACGGAGGGAGACGGAGTGAGACAGAGGGAGACGGAGGGAGACAGAGAGAGACGGAGTGAGACAGAGATAGACGGAGTGAGACAGAGAGAGACGGAGTGAGACAGAGAGAGACGGAGTGAGACAGAGGGAGACAGAGAGAGACGGAGTGAGACAGAGAGAGACGGAGAGAGACGGAGTGAGACAGAGGGAGACAGAGAGAGACGGAGGGAGACGGAGTGAGACAGAGGGAGACAGAGAGAGACGGAGGGAGACAGAGAGAGACGGAGTGAGACAGAGATAGACGGAGTGAGACAGAGAGAGACGGAGTGAGACAGAGAGAGACGGAGTGAGACAGAGAGAGACAGAGTGAGACGCCTGGACATGGTGCTAAAAGGAATTGTTTCTGCTATTTTCTATATTTCTTTTGTTATCTTAAATTGTCTATACATGTACTTTCAAACTCATGTTTAAATTTAAAATAATACAAAAATAAAACAAAAACTGTAAATCTTTTTCTACTGTGTAAATAAACAATACTGCACATTGTGTAGTCAATATACGTTTTATGTCTATTTTCACACAACTTCTACATATTAAATAGAATTAATTCAATTTAAATATAGATTTTTTTAAATAAATAAGAACATAAATACAATTCACAAAAATAAATCTAATGAAGGAGGATGATCATAAAAAAGTGATCATATTTGGAGTTTTAGGCCGATTACAAGCAGTGCTATGTATAGGGGACTGGGACATATCCTCATAAAGTCATCAGTAGTATTTCCACTTTATTTCAAAGTCAAACTTTATCAAGGATCTGTCTCTGTGTTGTGTTTTCTATATCCTCATATAGCCTTCACTAAATGTACGCTTCCTGGGTTTTTTGTTTGTTGCTAATTGTCTCATTGAAACACATTGCCTTCTGTGCGATACAAATGAAGCGCATTAGAATTACAAATCAGTTCCCTTCCTGTCAAACACGGCTGCCTGGGCCTCTCGCTGTGCATTCCTTATGAGACAGAGACATGTCTTCCAGCAGTATAGAGAGAGGCATGCTTACAGAGCTCTGCAGACCCTTTCTCCGTGTTGATGACGGGGGTTTTGGGGGGCAGGTAGGGACCGGGGCCCCAGGTGGAGAGGGCCCGCTTGCTGGTGTCGAACTGCTGGGTGAAAAACTCCTGCAGCTTCATGCCGATCTTGATGAGGTCGGGTGTGGTGGAGCGTGAAATTATCACCTGGAAAATGTCCCACTGCAGGTCTCCGTGGACGAAGATTTCACTGGAAGGGAGAAGAGATGATGGGGGGGAAAACATGAAAAACAGGAAGGGAAATAATATCAAGGCAGCTCAGATTTTTAGAAAACATTAAAGAAAGGCAAAATGCAGATGGTCCTAATTTAGATTAAACACCACTGCATCTGCTGCGACAGATCTGTAGAATCATTCTGTTACACTGGCTTGCCAAGTAATTAAGAAAACTCTAAAGAATGGCTCAAGGAAGAGGAACTTGTTCTAAAGTTCTCCTCATGCAGGTATCTGTGTGAATATAATGTCAGGTTGTATTAGATTTACTAAGAAACAGGACAAAAGCGAGACTGGTGCAGAAACACTAAAGGGAAAATGAACAAAAGAGTTACGCTTCTGCGGCTACTTAACCTGTACAAATGAGACAGAAAGAGCCTGTCGGGCCCCTGCAAATGCACCCCTAGAAGGGCTGCCAAGCAAAACGGCCTGCTCCTGTGCCGTTTGCACTGATTTAAATGAGGTAATATACATATATATTTTGAAAAATTGCCCCCTTTTTATGCAAAAGTGCTTTTTCTGCAAATACAATCCAATTAAAAAAGATAATAATAATAATAAATTCAATTTATTTAGCGCTTCTCATCTGCCAAGACAAATCCCGAAGCGCTTCACAACAGACGACACTGATAACATTTAAGAGATAACAAGTAAAAAATCAATAAAATCAAAAACAATAAAAAAATCAATAAAATAAAGTCAGAGATAGCCATAAAAATGGCTCCAGGGGCCTATACTACGAAGCAGGATTTTCGTTTAGCAAGCTAACTTCCTGGATTTCCGGTCCTACGACGCTGGTTCACTTCTTAGCGGGCTAGATAATTTATTCTGAACGGCTAGCCTCCGGAGCAGGATAGGTTCCAGGATAAAAGCACTGCCTGCTGACCAATCAGAGCTCAGTGTGCGGATCAATTCATATGACAGGAGAAAGGAAATACAGTTTAAACTGCCGTTGCAGGAAAGACGGCCGGCCAAAATCACCGACTGTGTGAACGTGAAAATGAATAGAATATCACCTCCCATCTTCAGAGCAATCTGACTATTATAACATTAGCGTTAAGAAAGCTTACTTAAATATCTGCCACAACATAAAGGGGACCAATCATGCAAAATGCACTTTTGTACATCTTTTATACATGAATATGTGTCCCCGGTGTTCCAGGGAACTCACCAAGTGTCAGAAAACACAACCCTCTCTATTTTCATCCATACCCAAATCTCTAAAAAAGGGGCTGCAATGGATCTGATAAAAACTGATCCAGATTTGAACACTGTCCTGACGTCAGGACGGTGGCTCTACGGCTATTGGGCCAACTCCACCAATCAGGAGGAGACAGCCACGGCCATTGCCGTTCGAAAGCGCTGGAGACGCTGTAGTACATATGCCAGGCCTGTAAGTGGCGCTGTAGTCTGCCACAAAAGCAGCGAAGAAGACTTCCCGCCCATAGTTACTATGGTTACCCTTCTGTTTATTCTCCGCTGTGGCTTTTTTTCTCCCTCCCCGAGGCAAGCGTTTGCTCCCCGCTGCTTTAATTCAATGCAATCCCTCCCCGTCGAGGCAAGCACTGTAATTCTCTCCGGTTAGTCCACCAGCAGATGACAAACACCCACCTCTCCGCCTCTTCCAAGGAACGAGGGGACCGTGCGGCAGAGTTTCAGTTTCAGTTTGTTTCGCCGGTCAAGATGTCCGTTAAAGTTTAAATCTTCCGGACAAAATTAGAAAAGTGCCAGTCAAAGGTCTTCTTTGTTATTTATTGAGCTTTAAAACAAATGAATAACGACTCTATATAATAAAACACGGAGGACGGAGATCTCTTTTTCTCCCCCTCTTCTGACAGCCCAGCAGCTGATCAGAGCACGTCTCCCCTCTCCTGCAGGGGGGCGTGGTCAGCAGAATCAGACCCGTAGACAGCAAACAGCACATAGAGCGAAATGAGGCATGGCTAAAATGCATGATCTGTTTGGTATTTTGAAAACAGAAACGTATAAATATACCTTATATAGGTATGGCCCTACAATATATCATTTAAATATAGCATGATAGGTCCACTTTAAGTAACCGGATCAGAGTAACATTAAGGCCTCCTTCACACGGGAACGTTTGCGTTTATGCACAGTACGCGTATTCAAAAAAGTCTTCCATTTAACGTGTCTGTTCAAACGAGACCGCTGGAAACGCTGTAGTACATATGCCGGGACTGTAAGTGGCGCTGTAACTTCCGCCAAAATACACCAAAAGCAGCGAAGAAGAGCAGCCCGGAGCAGCCCCGCAGCAATGTTGCCATGGCTACCCTTCTGTTTATGCCCCGCGGTGTATTTAGCAACATGTAGTTCATGTAATTCTCCATGTCCACTTGTTGCTGATGGTTGTGGTAGAGGAGCTGTAGATTTTGCACTAATATCTGTAGCATGGTCAGTAGCAGTAGCAGTAGCAGTAGCTACTGACAGGAGGAAGTGTGTGTGGCGATTGCTGGTATTCAGCGGGATATAGTAATTTCCTCAGCATATGGATAAATGCAACGGGGAAGTTAACTGAAAGAAACCGAATCTGTGGATATTGCATCGACCGACCAAGAAGCACGTCTCTGTGGAGAGGACGCGCTCAGAAAGAGAGATATTCTCTACAAACACCGGGTGAGATCGCTCCTCTGGGACACGCCGGTCCTCGTGTTTCCTTTTTTTGTGTGGATTATAGCCTGAATAGGCCTACAAACATTTCTCTTTTTGCCGCCGACGGGCGGAGGAGCAATGAACAATAATGGCCTGGATTAGGCAGTAAAGACAATTGTGGTGTATCGCAGAGCGGACTGTTTAATTTTGTTTGTGTTGTTTGGCTGGAAAATTGTCAATATAATGGATCAATGCATGAAATCTGACTCTGTTTATTTTGTTTAAGGAGTATATTGGGCGTTAACAATTCTGGTTTGCCTTTTATAATATTATTTCATTCAAGAACCCCTTGTGCGTTTAATTAACACAGCTATTTTTGATAGTTGCTACAGTAGTGAGCAGGAGAGGCGGGGCTATCGTTATTTTTTCAGGAAATATTCGTATAGAGGTGATTACACGGACTCTGTTGACCCCCCAGAGCGTTTCGTTTGCAAATCTATCCACCTTGGGACCCGTTATCGTTTGTGGGGTCAGTTTCTATCGGCCTCGTGTAAATAATAGGGCTATACGCACGCGAAACTATGCAGATACAAGCAGTTTTCTCCTCGTGTAAACGGCGCCTAAGTACAGTCCGCGGCACTGTGAGTGCAGACGTCGATGTGTCCCATTATCATTCATATCATATCACATCATAATGTATCATATATTTCCTTATCTGAGTCAGCTTCTTGAGCCGTATCTGGCCGTGCAACACTCACAGTGTCACATACTGTATGCAGAAGTATTATTTTAAGCAACACATTAAGTTGACGAAACACTCGAGTCAAATGTAATTAAAGTCAGATCCACTCGTGTCTTAACGGGGCAGTGATATCATAAACCTGTTGATGTACGCATTCAAACGCTTTTTCTTTTACCAGCTGTATTCACCTTGCAGGTGCAGCTATGTGGCTTTTATCCTGGATAAAGTGTTTAAGTCATGAATGTTTAAAGTTTAACTTCTTCATATTTGTCTAATATTACAGTTGACTTTTCATTCAGGAAGTATGACGCGCTGCGCTGTCAGTACGCGGCTTGTCCATGTTTGTGATTGGTCGATTGCTCCAGATACCACCCATTTTATGTGAATGCGCACCTAACTAGATAGGACACGGCTGGCTTGAGCGATCGAGTTGATAACCAGCGTCGTAGGACCGTTTAGCGAGAGCGTTTTCTTTTTGGATTTAGTCAACCGGATAACTCAAAACATATCCAGGATATGTTGAACTAGATTCGTAGTATAGGCCCCTGGTGTACCATGATACAAGTTTATTGGAAGGCCTGCCGAAAGAAGAGGGTCTTAAGGCCGGTTTTGAAGACCTCGGTGGAAGGGGCAGATCTCAGCTGATCTGGGAGGGAGTTCCAGAGGCGCGGGGCGAATGAGCAGAAGGCTCGGTCTCCCATTGTTCGGAGACGTGTGCGGGGGATGTAAAGAACAGGAGCGTGGCTGGAGCGGGTAGATGTCTGGGTACGGATGAGGTCACTTTGGGCTTTGGCCATTCAGGGCTTTGTAAGTCAGGAGCAGAACCTTAAACTGGATCCTGTAGTGGACTGGGAGCCAGTGTAGTTGGGCAAGTATGAGGGTTATGTGTGCGGACCTCTTTGTACCGGTGAGAACTCTGGCTGTGCTGTTCTGGACAAGTTGCAGGCGGTTGATGGATTTGGCTGGGAGACCGGAGAGGAGTGCATTGCAGTAATCTAGTCTTGAGAAGACGAGTGCATGAACCAGTTTTTTGGTGTCATCGGTTGAGAGTGAGGGCTTCAGTCGGGAAAAGTTTTTCAGGTGAAAGAAGGAGGTCTTGGTGATGTGTTTGATGTGGGCTTGGAAAGACAGAGTGGAGTCAAACCTTACACCGAGGTTGGTGACAACGGAGGAGAGAGGAATGAGCTGACCATCGAGGGAGGGGCTGATGTTGGCGGCCTTGGCAAGCTGGTCGGTGGTGCCTATCAGGATTGCCTCCGTCTTGCTGCTGTTGAGCTGGAGGTAGTTGGTGGTCATTCAGGAGCGGATGTCTTCCAGGTAGGTGTTTAGGGTTTGGATAGTATTGGTGCGGTTGGGTTGTGTTTTGATATAGACCTGGGTGTCTAGATCTAATAGCCTAATGCAGTCACAGTGAAGTGTTAGCTTCAAATGCATTTTTCACAAGTGGCCCTAATCTCTCATTTAAAAAGCAAACGCAAAGGTTAAATGGTCAAATAGTGTCTCTGTGCTTTTGTAATTAGTACGTTTGGAAAAATGGGCCCCTTTTTTGTGCAAAAGAGCCTTTCTGCAACACCGTCTGTGTTCAAAAAGATCGTTCAAGTGAAATATAAGCTTTAGTAAGTTATCTAACAACATGTCTAAGTCATCAAACTTAACATTTTAAGACTTTCTCAGAATTCTGAGATTAAAGTCAGAATTAAAGTCTGTTGAGACTTTGAAGTCAAAATTCTGCCTTCATTCCCAGAATGTTGGTTATTTGGTAACCTTTTTGCAGAGTTTCCCTTTGGTGTGTATGTTTTGTTGTTTAATAGTGAGTTAATGGTCCAGGGGCTGTTTAAGGAAATGTATTTGTTTTAGGGTTGCTATCTCGTAACTTTAAAAAAAGCTGTTTGTTAATTAGGCAGAGCCATGGTTGCGGGCATTAAAGATCATTAAGAGGATCATTATATGAATATTGTGTTTTCACTTATTAGTCTATAGAGAGCTACTGATTTTTAGTTGGTAAGACAGAAATCATATGCATTTCTCACAAATAGCCCTAATTAGTAACTCTCAAAGCACCTGCAAAGAGTGAATGCAGCCCTATATGCACTGCCATGCAAATAAATCGGCCCCGGTGCGCCTGTGTTATTTGCATGTATTTAAATTGGGTAATGTGCTTATATCAGGCGCAAATTGTTCCCCTTTCTATTCAAATGAGCCTTTGTGCAAATACAGTCCAATTCACACAGACAGCGCTAATAGGCACTCGCAGTGACAGTGAAATATTAGAGGGTTACAGGTAAATAAAGCACATTTATATGGGGGGTCACTGCCAGACTTTCCACTGTTCATGGCAGCCGTGACTGTTGGAAGCGTCGTCATGCTCCACTGAAACTCATTTATTTTGGGATGTAATGACAGTTGTTTCTTGAAAAATAAATGAGCGTAGCTCCCCCACATGTCGTTTTTTGAAGATACATGACAGAAATGAGGGAAGAAAGATTGATACATTAAAACATCCTACCCTAAACAAGTGTCTGTCGCCTCACACCTTAGACTCAGAGAAACAGATCTCAATCAGAGACATGGCTCCTATACATTATTTTCCTCTTTTCTGGCACGTTTTGTCAGCTTTGAAAATGCCTGGTGCACCGCGGGGTAGCTCAGTGGTTAGGGCAGGCAGCCAATAAGCAGTCAGCGCTGCCTAGCCATCAGACATGAGTGGGATATTTACTGACAAAATGTGAAAATATTGTACACATGTCCTAACCACAGATTGTATTTCAGGCATCTAACCACAATCATGTTCAAAACACCCTTACTTCAAGATGTAAGGACAGGAAGTGGTAAAATGCCATAAGTCTTTTCCGTGTTTCAGGAATCATTTCTGCACCACTCTATATCTTTACCTGTAAAAGCATCACATTACCCCCTCTGTCCCATTTCATTCAGTAGTAGTCATTATCCTCCCTGTGGATTTTATTTTCCCGTGTCCCACCGGCCCTGCTATGTAGTCTCGCACTGCACTGCATTCAAACACCTCAAACACCTTTATACTTTGCTACATGGATAATTATGATCAGATGCAAACATTCTGATTCATACAAATTGTTTTTTGTCAGACCTTGCTGCTAGAAAAGCAAATGCAAGGAAATGGCCTTAACCGGAGAGCCCATCACTATAAGACTGGTATGATAATATACACAAGTCTTTGTTTTGTTTCTGGAGAATACATTTCAACTGGTCTTAAAAGTATATATTTTGAGGAGCAGAGGCGTTGTGTAGCATTAAGAGCTTCTGCAGACGTCCCCACACCTTTTCTCCGACAGGCTGGTGTCCACGGTGCACAGGTTGACCTTCCACTCGTCCTGCAGCTGCAGGTCAGCGTTACTGAAGACCCCCATCAGGATGCTGGAGCCCATGTAGTCCACCCGCGCCTCTGTAGAGCCCATGGTGATCTGGATCTTATGGCTAGGCTGCTGGTTGGGGTGTTCCGAGATGTGGGCTGGAAAACAGAGGGTGATTGGTTAACACTGTAAGGTAGATTGACTGATCTAACATGAGAGCTACCTATCGGGGTTCTTTCTACGTCATGGCCACGCCCCTTTTTGGGAGAAAACATTCGCTGTCATTTGACTAGCGGTAAATACAGATTCTGAGGTTTTCACAAATCACATAAAAAAATTAAAAGTACCAAGCATATTTTTGTTATCTACAAGGAACCCAATTAAGGTGGTCGATTAGGCAAACAATTATATAACGTCATTTGAGACTGATGATCGGCGCCAATATATGGTTAAATTCAAATCAATCGTGGATTTATGTCCTGTCAGTTTACCAATGTCCAGACCACTTTGAGAAACACTGTCCTACATAATACACTTAACTAAAAAACATCTTATGTATTTTCTCTTGTATTTGCATTTGATATTGAGGTAGTCCAATAGTAACGGAAAGTAATCAGGTTAAAATACTCTTACATTGTGCTACTCACAATAATCACTAGATTAGATTACATGTTGTTACAAGTAACTAGTAATTGTAACAGAATACATTTTTAAAGTAACCCTCCCAAGCCTGTTTGGAGCTCAGGTTTATATCTAGTATACGGTCTTCTAGAACAAGAGTAGCAGGAAAAGTGCAGGGTTGTTGCTTTGTTTACTCACAGACCATCTCCAGGGTGTTCACGTCTATGTTGCCGCCCACCACCCCGCCCTTGGAGTCGAGCTTGGAGCGGCCGAGGCCCACGGACATGCTGATCTCTCGGTCCCGGTTGCTTCCCACCGACAGCCGGCCCTGACTCTTTAGCCCGCTCGTGGTCCAGCTGCAGGGCAAACAGACGGTGAGCGCTCGCTAATAATGTACGAGAGCTCAACATGAAACATGAAGGACTCTGGTTGCGAGAACTTGCACGGGAATAAACACAAGAAACTGGAAAAGGAAAGATCAGCAAGCCTTGACAGTCAATATGTAAGCGTTTTAGAAAAACATGCCGATATGAATGAATTCAGTTAACTTAAACAGAACCTTCGATGTACAGAGTGCTGTAAAAGAACTTCAGCAGAAAAAACTAAAACTACAGACAATAAGGAAGGAAATGAGTGTTACCATTATCAAAACATTAAGACCCCTTTAAGCATTGAAGACCATTTACATGCACAAAAACGTATAAAAAACCTTACAGGAAAGGGAAAACCCAAAAAGCAGAATAGGGACCCCTTCTTTATGTAATGTAGCATTATTAAATACAGCCTACTTTTGAATCTGTAAGTCAGTAGTGGACCAGTGTAGGAAAATAACCTGCTGTGACGCTGTAATGACTTTTTTACTATAATACCCTGAAGACTAAATGGCATTGGGATTTGAAGCTTGAAACCAGTTAATACCAAGCTATATTAAAACAATATGTTTTGAGCCCTCTTTTAAACCGTCAGCAAGTCTTATATTTAAAAGGCATCATTTTAGGGCATGCTTGCAAACAGTAATATCCCTTTTTGTGTGGAGCTGTAGAGGAGTTTGTAAAGGATAATTAAACAGTAGGGAGTCTGTTATATAACGTAGGCAAGGCTGTGTAGTGTCCACTAACTAAGATACAGACTTTAAAATCAATGGTAAGAGAGGCAGGGTGTTTTTGTTTAATATAACAAAAAAACAATACAAATGAATGAAATAGGAATGAATACTTTGTATTTGCAATAGTTGGTTTTGGTAGAAATGATTTACTTTTATTAATAAAGGTCTCCTATTATGCTATTTTTAGGCATATATTATGGGTCTCAGCTATATACAAATATATAAAAAACATGTCTTTGATGTGTTTTGCTCAAAATACCAAACAGATCATGCATTTTAGAAATCCCTCATATCCCTCTCTTTCAGCCCCTTTAGAGAAACGCTGATTCTGGGTCCTTAGCTTGAAAAAAGAGGAGGGGGAGCTTGTGCCTGATCAGAATTCTATGAGATTCTCAGCTAAACGCTGCCGTGATTAAACGCCATCATGTTCCAAACCACATCAAGGATTATTTCTGAAACAGTATGGAGCTCAAATGCTTTTTCTCTTGCGCGTTTACCACAAGGTGAGTTCCTTTTTTTATTTCCTGCTTTTTTTAAACATACTCTCTCAAGTACAGGTTAGCTCTGAGTGTTAGCGATGCTAATGTAAACAAAGACCATATTACGTCCAAAACAGTCGGGCATTGTTTCTGATAGCAACGTTTCTGATAGGGCCGTGGGTCCACATTTCCGATATTACGTCATATCTACATATTTATGTATAAAGGACACTAAAAAGTGCCTTTTGCATGATAGGAGACCTTTAAAGCTAATTACTTGCCTTCGTTAAATCTTTCATTCTCATTGGTCATTTTGGACATTCAAGGGGTCTGTTATTTTCGCTAACAGACTGCTGCTAAGGAGAACAGACTATTGATAAGGAGGATCAAGGGACAATGTGCAGTCATATCAATCCACAGAAAGAAGTCCGGTCAATTTAACGTCAGTTGTGGACAACAAACAACTGCACCCAGTGAAAGAAAAGACAAACAGTGCAAGATAAGGGAAGAGATTACAAGACAGAGCGCTGGGTGTCAGATAAATAAACAGAAGAACACGGACAGGAAGTAAACACTAATGGGAACACGGTATGGGCTCCGGCAGTGTTTAAATACTGGTTAATGGAAAATAAAATGTGAACAGACTTGGACAGTTAGAGAACACCTCGATCAGTGCTGCCGTCATTTAAAGTTAAGTTGCTGTCGCCGCAGTTCCGACCCATTTTTTAAATCAGTCAAAACAATCTGAATCAATGTTGTGAGTCAAGATGTTGGTTCATTTAGATAGTACCCGTGTAATAGGCTTCACGTCGGGATCCTGCTCACCCTGACGGTGTTCTTCAAGACATCTTGATGATTATTGATGGAATGGTTTATTTCAAAGTTTAGTCAGGATGTCTGTTTACAACCATGTCGAATTGTTTTAATGGCAGCAAATAATGTCAACTGTTGACAACAGATGCCATACATTTAGATAAAACATGATCATTCAATGAAAGTTGTGATTGTTATAATTTCTTGCAAAGAACTTAGAATGGAACCATCCATGTTTTTTTGTTGTTGAGACAATTAGACCAAATTCCAACATTTAAAAATAATCAACAATGACAATATTGTTTCTCTAAGTGCACTGTTATTTCAACGTGTCACATACATATGTCTTTATCAGGACATTCGCTTGTTTTAAACAAAGACTACACCTATTCCGGAGTATTCTCATGGCGAAAGAATGTTGTGAAGTGCTAAATAATTTAAACTACAGAGCGTGAGAGTACCTCCACTTTGTGAGGAAGAGGCAGGAGACTTATGTGAGCCCAGACCTTTCCAGAGAGGAAGATATCTTTTACCTTTACAATGACAGAGAGCTTATAAAACAGAACAGCTCTGGTTATGAATGTGTTGTTTTCCCTCAATGAATCAGCAGGATTTTTCTGCAATTCGGCCATAACTGTAGCAATGAAAGCTGTAACGGCTGCATATCCTAGTGACCGTGAAATACCTCGGTGTATAAGAGATGAATAGAGCCCATAAGTGTGGGCGCTAAAGGACCTTAAGGGCTGGAATATCAGTGCAGCAGGAGATAAAAGTGTAATATGCAGCAAGGAGACTCCCCATAGAAGTATTTTGCTACCCCAGTGTTCATGTAGCAGCTGATTACGCTTACAAATGATGCTGAGAGTGTCCAGCTTAGCCAACACCTTTCTGAGTTTACAGTTTTATATTGACCATTCATTCTCTTACACTAAAGGTGTAATTTTGACACCGTTTGATATAATGTGATCTGTGTTCCACAGGATACAAACAGCAGGATTCACATTCAGTCACTCACTAAGTAACACCTTACATCATTTCTGTTTGTTTTCAAGCGTTCATGCTGAGCTAAGCAAGCCATCTCCTGGCTGTGGCATCATATTATTTTACATCACATTACATGTGCCCAAAGCTTTTACATATCCTCAATACTGTTGAGCAATCCCATGCCCAGGGACACAACGACAGATCATTCCATCTATCTATAACTCTAAACTAATAACGAAGATATTTCCACACAATGTCGTGACTATACAGTAAAAGGAAGAGAAATGATGACCACTCACGTGTTGTTTCCCATGACGTTGCTCATGTTCATTTGGACGGTGAGCTGTTTCAAGTTGATGGCGAACACCACCAGTGTCTCCCACGGCGCACCCTGCTGACCTGCTGTCTTGCCATTTTTACTGAAGGAAGGGGTGGAGGTTTTTGTCACCGAGTCTAGAAGAGAATGAACAAAGATTAGGAGAAAGGAGATTTGATGTGTTATAAATTTGGTTGCTAACAAGTGAGTAAATAAGACTTAAAAACCTCATCCCGCTGGAAATAAGCCACCTTTAGCTATATGTGAAGTCATTCAACTGTGATGTAGTTCATTTATAACCTAATTTGAGCTTTTTTGCAGCAATGAACCTTGTGGAAAACAGGCACACACGAGTAAAGAAATCCTGTCCTAAAGCCCAATAATCAGTTAGCATTTTACCATTTGTGGTATGCTCCTCTCAAAGCTCCTGTTTTAGGTTAGATGCGTTTGGATGGTTAGATCACGTTTTGTTTCAAGGAAATATGTCATTAAATGTCCCACACATGCTTCATTTTGTCTTAAAAACAGTGGTTGCTAACAAGTGAAAGGAAAGGGGAGTGCCAAACGCCTTTAGCTTAGCGGTGGTGATGCACAGCCATGCCACCGTGATGTAGTTCCTTTATAAGGTAACTTAAAGGGGACCTATCATGCAAAATGCACTTTTGTACGTCTTTTATACATGAATATGTGTCCCTGGTGTTCCCGGGAACTCACCAAGTGTCAGAAAACACAACCCTCTATATTTTCCTCCATACCCAAATCTCTAAAAAAGGGTCTGCAACTGATCTGATAAAAACTGATCCAGATTTGAACACTGTTCTGACGTCAGGACGGTGGCGCTACGGCTATTGGGCCAACTCCACCAATCAGGAGGAGACAGCCACGGCCATTGCCGTTCGAAAGCGCTGGAGACGCTGTAGTACATATGCCAGGCCTGTAGATGGTGCTGTTGCTCACAGAATCAGCCCTTGCAAAAACAGAGCTAACATTTTTCAAATTGAGCAAAATGAGGCATGGCTAAAATGCATGATCTGTTTGGCATTTTGAAAAAAAAAAAGTATAAATATGCTTTATATAGGTATAGTCCTACACTATATTATTCAAATATAGCATGATAGGTCCACTTTAAGCTTTTCACTTCTGACAATTGCATTAAAACTTCAAAAATCATAAAGTGGTGTTAAAAGTCCTGCTGAACAAAACGAGTTAACAATCATAAATATGCGTTTACAAAAGATCATATTTTTCTGCAATTAAAATCAATCCAAAGGAGAAATACCGTTGGCTTTTTGTCGAGGGAACCAGGGAGATGCTAACTCCCGGGTTGGCCTACAAAGATTTGTCACCTATGAACCCCTCTATCTAAGTTTCACCTGAAAGAGTTTTTGATTCACCTCTCCTGGGAGCGGAGGAATCCGACACGCTCCTGGTGCGTCCGGGCGCCGGGGACTTGAGGTGTCCCACGCCTCCCGGAGACATGTTGCTTCCTGCGGAGTGCTCTGAAAACACGTTTGGGGATTGAGGCATGTGCTGTGTCCCCATGCTGCCGTCCCACGTCCTCCAGGCTTTCCGGCTCGACTCCGGGGACAGGTGTTGGGTTACATTTTCCGCCGAGTCAGGGGTGGCAGGGCCAGAGGCTGAAGCAAGGTAAAGGTTGAGAGATGTATGTTAAAAGGACAGCCTTGGAAATGTCATCATGGAGCAGTGGGAGGAAATGTTGGTTGAAAGAAGGTCAGCAAGATGGGATATTAAAAAACACACAAGCCAAACCTGTGGAGATTAGGAGGCTGACATCTGTGAAATGAGGAGTTTCCTTTCCATATTTCTTTGTATAAAAAAAACTTTTCCTTTTAATTCTGTTGCCTGGAGCAGTTTTTTTTACTTGAAGGCCATGGCAAGCTATTGGAGCAATACTTTAATAAAACGTCAACAATGAACTAGGGCTGGGCAATATGACAATATTATTTCCATATTGTGACATCAGATTACTTGTAATCGTAATAGACCTTGGATATCTGCATTATGGTACATGTATGTAATTTCCATTTTTACTATCTATCAGCAAATGACTTTGTGACAACATACAGGCAGTGGATGTACCAGTGGCCACTGTGGCACAGTTGTTGGTGCTAAATGTAGTGAGAAGCAATACAAAAACATATTATCTGACAACAGCCTTCTTTTCTGTCTCCACTTTTGTTACAAAAACAAATCCATCAGTTTCCGGAACCTTTCAGAACTGCTATTTTCCCAAACACATCCTTCCTAAAATAACACTTGATCATAACTCCATTCTCAGAAACTCCCTGAAGATTTTTAATCCAATAAAATACTTTCTTTGGATTGTCTCAGTATCACCCCTGAAGAATACAATCACTAGTTCAAACTGATGGACAGTGTTTGTAGTGCGAAGGGGAAGCACACTGTGCTGTATTGGAGATCGTTACATGGATAATACAAGGGCCCCATTCCTTCAGCTACAAACTCAATATCAGCTTCCTCTACTACATTTTTACCGCTACCTTCAAGTCACGCATTTCAAATGGAAGTGTTTCCCAGAAAAGCCACATTTTTATTATGTACTTCTCTCACAACCAATCGAAGGTCGGTGGTTAGATGTCCAGCGCCTGTAGGCAACATGTCAATATGTCCTTGGGAAGATACAGTCGGATAAGGTTACAAAGACTGGAAATTAGCTATATCTATGCAGTCCATTTACCACATGTTGCTAAGAAAATATTTGTTTAGCATATGGAACTCACAAAACTCTGTCCTGAAGGTGAGGAATTTTTTTTTACATTGCTCAATGACACCTGACTGTATAACTCGAAACATCTTTGGCTATGTTTTATCTATATTTTGAGCAAACTCTGCCTTATCGAGGAGTTATTATTTCTTTATCCATTTACCTGGAAGACCCAGTCTCCTATTGAGTTGTCTGACAGCTTTGCTAGATCTTTGGAGTACTTCATATAAAATACCCTGTCTTTCCTTTTTTCTTTCTTTTATGTTATTGCGATAGGAATCTAGATATCATGTTAGATTTTGGATATTGTGATGTCACATGTGTTCTCTCTGGTTTTAAAGGGGCTGTTTATTTTTCTCATACTGCCTGTGCTGCAGCACCTCTTTTCACCCTCTGTCTGAAACCAGAGCCCAGTCTGCTCTGATTGGTTAGTTGGCCAGCTCTGTTGTGATTGGTCAAACGCTTAGAGATGTATTGGAGATGTCCTGCCTCCACCAAATGCAAAATAGGGCCCGTATGAAGTCTGCATTACAGTGAAGTTAATTTGGGAATTTATCAGAATTAGCTAGCTCTTCTATTATTAACACTTACCAGCTAATTAATTAAAGGGGACCTATCATGCAAAATGCACTTTTTGATGTCTTTTATACATAAATATGTGTCCCCGGTGTGTCAGGGAACTCACGCAGCGTCAGAAAATAAAACCCTCTCTCTTTTCCTCCGTACCCAAATCTCTAAAAAGATATCAGATTTGCGTCCGATATGACGTCATATCGGAAATGTGGACCCACGGCACTATCAGAAAGTTGCTATCAGGAATAATGCCGACTGTTTTGGACGTAATATGGTCGGTGTTAACATTAGCATCGCTAACACTCAGAGCTAACCTGTACTGGAGAGAGCATGTGTGTGAAGAAGCAGGAAATAAAAAGGAACTCACCTTGTGGTATAACCGGCAAGAGAGAAAGCCTTTGAGCTACATACTGTTTCAGAAATAATCCTTGATAATCCATGATATGGCGTTTCATCACGGCAGTATTTGGTATTTTAAAGCTTTATACCCAAAATCAGCACTTTTGAAACAGGAAGTGAAATAGAGGGATATGAGGCATGGCTAGAATGGGTGATCTGTTTGGTATTTTGAGCAAAACACTTCATAGACATGTTTTTTATATATTTTTATATATCTGAAACCTATGCTATTGCCTAAAAATAGCATGATAGGTGCACTTTAAATTATTTTTACTGAAGATGTAAATATTTGATTAAACCACAAATGGTCATGCCTATAATTATGTTGTTAGTATAACAATAATGATATTGAGGTACTTGATCAAATTTATTTTGTGTATTTGATATCATCCCTTATGCCCAACCCTACGAAAAACATTTAATGCTAAATAAAGCTGTAATTACTTTGTGAAAGCATCAATGGTAAACCCAACTATATAGTATGGGGATATTGGATTTTTTCTTCATATTGACCAGCCCTAAATTGTACCAGGTGCTTTTTTTCTTGAAACAAAAGACTAAATTAATGTACTCGAACCATCCGAAAAAGACAAGTCCAAGCCTCTGATTGGTCAGAGAATCACCTGGCAGGTTAATGGTCTGGTCTCCCAGGAAGAGGCGGCGGGCGATGCTGCGGCGGTACCAGGCTCTGGGGAAGGCCAGGATCTCACTCAGGCGCCTCATGTCGTATTTGAAGGAAGCCGAGCCAATGTCGCACACCGCTGAGGGGAGGATATTACATTTGTTCAAATATACGAGACACACATTTAACGGTTACTTCTTTAAACAACCCTACTGGGAAAAAAGGTGTGCATCCTGGCATTCAGATTGCAAAGGTGCTGTTTTCATCAAAGGTGCTCCCCAGTCTCGTTTCCAATGTTGTAAAAATGTCCCATTCATTACTTCATGGACTCATTGTGATAGATATGCTTCATATTCTGCCTGTCTAGTGGTAGCCCCATCAAGTTTATTAAAATTGTCGACTTTGCTAAAAGCCCTATTAGTATAGAAAGGCGAAGTCCCGCCCATCCACTTCCGACCCATGGGACCTTATTTCGGAAAAATTATGTATTGAAGTCAATGGGGAGAGAAAACGTATCTTTCGATCCCGTTTGAATTGTGCCACGAATTACACATATGATGTTTGTCAATCTTAAAAAAGAATTTCCATGTAAAAAAAGTCAGAGTTTGTCGTAAAACTGTTGAAATATAAGACTATGAAAAATATGCAACTAGAAAGACTACAAATCCCAGAATCCCGGTCCTGCATGCTGGCTCTTAAGGAACCCTTTTGTGTATGTACAGCTCTCAACATGCTCAGACTTGTAGTGATTTTCACCTCTTTTAATACTTTTCGCCTCATTCTGAAAGAAAGAAGTGAAAACGGAATCGAAAGATAATCTTTCTCTCCCCATTGACTTCAATACATAGTTTTTCCGAAATAAGGTACCACGGAGCTCCCCCGGAAAGGGAGGGACTTCGCCTCTCTATGGTTGGATTGAGAAACCCCTCCCCCAACGTCTGATCTTCATTGACGCATAAACCGGGGTAAAAAGACTCAGTATTTTACTCATATATACTGATACTATCCACTGGATACAACAAGAAACAACTAAGCACATATTTATATTTAAGAACTATTATAATTTTGGAATGGCAAAAGACATTATCTGTTGAACATCATTGAATAAATACCACCATGTTGTGTATAGTGTTGTATAAATTGATATTGGACTATGCTAATCCTATGTTTCCATGCAATTTCTACAGTGACATCACAGGGGCCTTTTTAAAAGTTTAAATATCTTCCACTCGAAGTGCTCTGAGCGGCCGCACAAAAACGGCGGAGCACTCGGTGGGAAAAAAAGACGCTGGCGCTGCGCTTTACCATGAGGATGCCGATGATAGCAAGCACTCTCATTGGATTCAAATTAAAAAAGGCTCTCAGAAAAAGGCGAGGGAACACGGGAGCTAATCTATTCTTCTGTTATAAGTGCTATAGGTATAGGTAATAGGGCATGTAAAGGCCAACAATAGTTTTTAACGGAATGCTTGTAAGATGCTGGAAGTCTTCAAGTTTGGAACATAACAAGTCTTTGACAACTTATAGTTGAGTCATTTTGTAACTGCGTTTTAGTATTTAAAAAGCAGTGTTACAGCATCAAACCTACTTTTGAATCAGCAAGTCGGTGGGAGATCAGTTGAGATGTAATTTGGATGGAAATAGCCTGTGGTGATGCTGTAATTTACTTTTAATAAACTCTCTTTCAAGCTCTACCTGTGATTACATTGGGTCCTACAGACAAAATATTATACTTTAACATGAACACCTTCACCATCTATGCCTGTGCGAATGTGTCTTTATGCAGTGTAGAGACAAGCCCCTTGAACAAATGCTGTCAAGACCTTCATTTTGTGCAACATAGCCTCCATAATACCACACTAGGAAAAAGGCACGGAAAAATGATGATAGGAGATTTCAGTGGAATTTGTACTTGTCAAATTGCAGACGTGGCAGATTTGAAAGGATTACGATCCCAGACAACCTCAGGAAGTACTCCAGACTTGTAATATATTTCATATCCCTTAAATCCATGCCAAGTATCTTTGTCTGTTATATATCACTTCAAAAAAGGTTTATGCATTTCCTTCACTTGTCCTGGTAATTTATCTTCCCCTCCAGGAAATGTAAGTTTTCCAATTACATTCCAAATATTTCAAGACTGAATCTTGAACAGACAACACAGAAACAATCAGTATGATCGCTCTCTCGTAGAGAAATCTTGATGGTGTACCTGAGATGTTGATAAGGGTGGTGTCCATTTTGCCGCCTTTAGTAGGAATGAAGCTTTCGATGAAGGTGGGGCCTCCGGTACGCCTGATCCTTGATAAGCTGACCTTCACAAACTCCAGGTTGATACTCAGAGAGTCTTTTCTTCCCGTTACTGAAGACGGCTCCTCATCTACTGTACCTTCAGGGAAAGGGAAATAATCATGAAGATAACTCGTCTAATTACCAACTCTAAACTTATTTTTTCTACAATTATTTGGCTTTTTTGCCTTTATTAATGATATAGCTGTATAGCCAGGTTACTGCGTTAAGGACACACGATAGCACCAGATTGAGCACAACCTTAGTTGCCATATGGCGACACTATGAATGTTTCTTACTAAGTGAAATGAACCAGAAGTAGCTAAACGGCAGCTATAATAAGAGCTGTTGGAATTCTCAAGATAATAGGAAAGGAGCTTTAATGCTTCAAACCCACATCTTCTTGCGTCTGCAACATTTATCGGACACACCATTCGGCCATCCGTCTTATCCCGTAACTTGCTCATAAGTTTAGAACTTTCAACAATATATTAAACCAACAGGTGACCTATACATGTTACGCTAATTACTGTAAGATGATCAAATGGAGTCAACATTTCACAGTGTTTTCGTGTTTGATAAGCAATTTTGTTAACATATTTTAGGATATTACCAAGATATTTTCGCTGTTGTCAACTTTTATTAACCCCGCCTTAAACAGCACAATAAGAACGCATGGTGTGAAGTATTTAGAACCCCCGTTGCATCTTTCCCTAACCCTATGACATTTTTCACAGAGGTTATAAGACATAGGAGCTGATTTCTTTGTTGACAGCCTTGATCTTGCAGGTTTGTACATCATATCCACATTGAAAGAGGAAACTGCAGCACTGTGTTATTAGCACATTAGAATGTTACAACATGTTTCCCCCCTCTCTCCTTCCATACCTAATGGCCCTGGGCCCGGAGGCAGCCCTGTGACTGCAGATTTCTGCTTTCCGGCGCCGTAGGGGTGGAACACGTAGAGGGAGAAGTCAGACATGCAGGCAGTGAAGCTGAGGCCTGAGGAGTTACTGGGGGGGGGCGGTGAGGTCTGACTGGCTGCTGCTGTGGCGGCTCCTGCCCAGAGGGCTCCCCAGCAACGGGGAAGCTGGATGGAAGAAGACAACGTTAGACATGCAGTCACACTCACAAGGCATTCATTGAATTAATAATAACAACGATTTTCACATTTCATGTCATTAATTGCTTTTATCTACATCATCTTACATGAACATTCATAGCATTTTCTTCGATGTTTCACTATGGGGTGCACCTTCCTGCATATCTTTCTGAGGAATCATCTCACTCATGCTACTCTTAGAACCGGGATTATGAAAGTAACCTAAGGTTACTAGTGTTGGAACAATTAATCAAATGTTATACTTGTAAAAGTAGCAAAACTAAAAGTGTAAAATACTTTGTTACAAGTAAAAGTTCTTCATTCAAATCTTATAGTACATCATTATTGGCATCACATACTTACAATATACTTAAGTACTTCAAATTCTGAAGAAAATAAATCATAACAATGAATAACTAATTAAATCACAGTATGATCCTAATATATTTTCCAATGATAATCAAAATAAAATAATGTTTCAGTAATAATAATTCCCTCCAATTTTGATCATGTTATTGCAATTGCAATATCAGTAAAAAAGAATAGTAATGAGTTATTTTAGTCCAAATAATGCAACCCTAGTGTCTTTGCAGACATTAACAGGAAAGGGCGACCTGTGTGATGGGAAGAGACATCTAGCAAATTGAATTACCGCTCATTACCATTGGCACCACAAGAGAGCCAACTGAGATCTCTGAGAGTGTGACGTTAACCTATATATGACAGTCATGTGCCATCTGTATTTCACATTAATGATACATTTTGATACATTTTGATACATTTTGATAAAGGATATGAGGAAGATAAACAGAGTAGAAATCCAAAAGTGCTAAAAGTGAATATTTCACATGAAATTAATGTCATTTTATTTTGGCTTTAGAACTAAACTTGCAACAAGACAGACTGGAGAGCAAAGTAATGAAAGGATGTGAACAAGCTGTGAGCAACATTAAGTCACACAGGGCCCAGACATGGCATGGGGGGGGGGCTAATAGACACGCTCACAATGTGAGAGAGGCTTTCAGAAACTGCTAAAGTGTTTCCCTTACATATTATCTCTGCATACTCTAGAGCAGGGGTGTCAAACTCAAATACACAGTGGGCCAAAATAAAAAAATGGGTACTAGTCGAGGACTGGTTCAATGTTTATTGCAAAAGTTATTGAAATGAACTTATTGCACATATTAAACCTGGAACTAACAAAGCTTAAATTATTGCCTATAAAAACAACATTAAACATTAAATAATCAGTTGCATTCATTTCTCATGGCTCTATCTGCAGCTTTTCCAGAGTCATTTCTTATGATTACATTTCTCCACAGGCCAACAACAGCTTCAAAAAAACGATTTCCCTCAAAGGGAGAGAAAAAGTGCAGAAGGAAACATCCATGTGAACTCAGTGTGCTGCTCTGTGATGCTAGTTCAAGCCAGATACTTGGCATCTCATCTCGGGTGCAAGTTCATCAATGTTTGGGGTCAGGCTCTAAGCTGAGGAAACCCTCAGGATTGAGTGAAGGTGTGCGTGCAATATACAGGCGGGCCAGATCTAATAGTAATTAGAAATTATCCTGCGGGCCGAAATTAAATCCACCAAGGGCCTGATTTGGCCCCCGGGCCTTGAGTTTGACACATGTGTCACTTTTCCCCAAATACATGCCCTACATACCTTTGCTGGGCGGTGGTTTGGGGATATACTGCCCAGGTGGGGTGGAGGAGGGGGGGTGGGGTGCGTCAGTGGGGTGGGCTCCCGGTGGGGTCTCCAGCTCCCCGCGGTTAGAAGAGAAGACCAGGTCTAAAGAGGGCAGTTTGAGCATACACTCCACCCTGGACATGGGCAGGCAGCTGAAGCGGATCTGAGAGGGCTGCAAACACAAGTGACACATGATGTCAAGTGTGTAACTGCAAGTCTAAATGTATGGCTTTGGAAATCAAAAACAGGACTTGAAGATATTAAATACATCAGAAAAATAAACCATTAGAATTATTCCCATAGCTTACACTCAACTATCTTTAAATAGCTTCCATTTTTAATGAGCTGCAATTGTGCTGGTAGATGTGGTCTGGAGGACAACCAAGGTGAAAAGTTCGCAGTTTTCATTCGTAGCATTTGTTTGGATGACTCACACATGCCACGCAGAGGACCGGGGTTTTAAAGCAGACTAAAGTTCCTTTTCCTTGAGTTTGTTTCGATATCTCACTATGGGAGGCGTCTACCTTCGCATTCCTCTGAGGAGTCATCTCACTCATGCTACTCTGAGAACCGTGGTTACGCAAGTAACCTAAAGTTACTGATTCAATGTCTCTTTTCATATATATTACTTTGGGAGGCTTTATTTGACCTGACTGGTGTGGGGGTGTCATGGCTGAGGGCAAGTTCCCCTCGAACGACATACAGAAAGACAAGAAATAACATTCAAATAAGCACAACATAATAACTGACTCATAATTGACTGGCTCCCTCCCACAGGGTCTGAGAGCAGCCCAATATGAGAAGAGAGGACCCCTCCCACAGGGTCTGAGAGCAGCCCAATATGAGAAGAGAGGACCCCTCCTAAAGGTCTGGGGGCGGCCCAAGGCAGAGAATAAAACCAAATAAAGGAAGACGATGAAGGAGAAAATCTGGTATCTATTAATCTTCCTTGATCAACTGCTCCCCAGGCTTCACAAAACCATAAAGTATAAATGTATTTATTACATTATTTTATTTAGTTTTTATGATATATATTTATAAATGTTTTTATTAACTTTTTTATATATATATATATATATAGGGATAACAAGGAAGGTCAAATATTATACACGCCAATATATATATTAGATGATAT